TTGGGGAAGAAACTACAGAGTCGGGTAGAGTATTCCAGACATTGACCACTCTGTTGCTGAAGTCGTATTTCCTGCAATCAAGCTTGGTGCAGTTAACCTTGAGTTTGTATCTATTGTGTGCTCTTGTGTTGTTATGGTTGAAGCTGAAGTATTCATTGACAGGTAGGACATTGCAATGTATGATTTTATATACCATGCTTAAATCAGACTGAAGACGGCGTAATTCAAGGTTTTCTAGTTCTATAATTTCAAGCCTGGTGGCATAAGGTATTCTACAATGAGTAGAGGAGTGGAGAACTCTTCTTGTGAAATATTTCTGGACTTTCTCAATTGTGCTAATATCAGATACGTAATGTGGGTTCCAGACTGATGAGCTGTATTCAAGTATTGGTCTAGCAAATGTTTGTACTTGTCCCTCTCTTGAATTCTCCCATGTTGAATTGTCCTGTGGCAAGTTGTCCTTTGATGAGTTGCCGATGGTGAGTTGACTGGGACAAGCTGGCCAGGGTGAGACGACTGGGACCAGTCGCCTGCAGAGAGTTGTCCCATTCCATCGCTTGTCTGCTATTCCTGAAAGTGGACTGATTCCCCTCCCTCCAAGCTTCTGCATGAACCTGAAAAAAAGAGATGCTGCTCCTTTAAGGAACACCTCCCATAGTCTCTGCAGGGACTTAAAAAGAAAAAAAAAAGGGGGGGGGAAAGTGGCTTTAACAAGTAGCAGCAAGTGATCCTGTTATGACACGGACTTGGCTGAAGCACTTATTTGGAATCTTTTTTATAGTATGCCCAGAGCTCCTACATAATATGTTGCCTCAGAATCCTGCAAGAAAGACAGGATACTCAATGCAACTAGCAAATAAACAAATAGGCAGCGAGGTTTTTTTTTTGCTGTAGCACCATATTTGTAGCAATGCAATTCCGTGCTTGGAAGGGAGGAAAAAGGCAGGAATATATCAAGGGAATGCTACGTTTGCTTCAATGGTCACCCAGATTTTCCTGGCTCTTTTTCCGTTCTCCATAGATTAGAAATGGGCAAACAGCCCTGTGAAAAGTCCTCCATCCATAAAATTGCCATGGAGCCCACATAGAAAAGGCTATTTGGTTGATTTTGGAAAGTAACAGGCTGGGTCTCACATTTACTGAAGAAAGAATAACAGAATAACGGAGTAGGAAGGGTCCTTGGAGGTCTTCTAGTCCACCCCTCTGCTCAAGCACGAGACCCTATTCCATTTCATACAGATGACTGCGCAATCTCTTCTTGAAAACTTCCAGTGATGGAGCAGCCACAACTTCTGCAGACAAGTTTTTCTACTGATTAATTGTTCTCACTGTCAAGAAATTCCTCCTTACTTCTAGGTTGCTTCTCTCCTTGATTAGTTTCCATTCACTGCTTCTTGTCCTGCCCTCAGGTGCTTCGGTGAATAGTTTGACTTCCACTTCTTTGTGGCAGCCCCTCAAATATTGGAACACTGCTACCATGTCTCCCCTAGTCCTTCTTTTCTCTAGACTGGACACCCCCAATTCCCACAACCGTTCCTCATATATTTTAGCCTCCAGGCCCCTAATCATCTTTGTTGCTCTTCTCTGCACTCTTTCTAGAGTCTCAACATCTTTTTTCTTTTCTTTTTAATATTGTGAGGTTAAAAGAATGGAAGTTAACCCTCCCTTCAGCTCCTTTGATCACATATAATAAATGGAAAGTCCTAACACCAGCCGTAAATCAGGCACGCCTCCTAACCACAGAGAACATTATTCTTGAGTGAGCAATCATCACAAGGGTGACAAACAAAAGTGATTGATCAATAAAGCAGCCCAGAAATGCAGTCGAGAAACACCAGAGTGAGGAGAATGATAAAATAATCCCTCAACCACGGGTGGGCTGCTGGGGGTTCGCAGGGGTTCGGGAGGGCCCCTAGCTAAGATTCTGTGCAGTTTGGAGAAGCCCCAAATTCCACTCCTAGCTGGCCCCACCCACCCTACCCACCTTTCCCCATGCGGCTTGTTTTGGATGCGGGTAAGTACAAGATGCCTACTAGGCCCATAATGGTGAACCTATGGCACAAGCTATTTGTATGGGCATGTGAGCCCCAGCCAAACTTACCTGCACTGTGCATGCACGCACCTCCCAGCTCATTTTTGGTCCATCTGGGGCTTGAGGGAAGCCTCTGCAGCCTTGGAAGGCCAAAAAATGGGCCTTCCGGCAATACTGGAAGTGCTCATTTTCAGCCTCTGGAGGGCCTCTGGAGCCCAGGGGAGGCTGTTTTTGCCCTCCCAAAGTGCCTAAATGGGCCCGTTTTCAGCCTCCCAAGGTTGCAAAGACTTCTCTCGAGCCCCTGGGAGGGCAAAAACAGCCCCCCAGGCTCCAGAGGCCCTCCAGTATTTCCAGAAGGCCCGGTTTTTTTGGCCTCCTGAGGCTGCAGAGGCTTTCCTCGAGCCTCTGGGAAGGCGACAAAAGCCTCAAATGAGCCAAAAATCAGCTGGGAGGCACATGCATGCGCAGTGCAAGTAAAGGGGTATGTTGTACGGGGGCCGGATACATTGCATTGTGGGTGCTGGCACACGCACACATGTGCGCTATTGCACATACGTGTGCTTTTGGCACACCACAACAAAAAGGTTCACCATCACTGGACTAGGCCATTCCCACCATGGCCCCGCCCACCCAGCAACCAGTCAGAGAACCCTTTGCTAAAATTTTTGAAGCCCGGCCCTGCCCTCAACCATCCCTGTCAAATGAACATTGTTCTAGGCTTAAGTCAGTTGATTTGCAGATGAGGAAACGGAACAGAAAACAAGGGTTCTTACAGGTGGGTGTCACCAGAGTTTCTGCTACTCCAAGCAAGAGGTATTGTGGGGCCAGATGGAGACACGGCATGGAAGAAACGAGGAGTTCTTTGCCTGAAAGTGTCTGTTCAACCAGTGGGAAATGCTTCCGATGTAGCTCCAAGCAACCAGCAACAACCACGGAAAGAGTTGCAGATATATTGCCTACAACTGAGCATCAAACACAAAGAACAATTAATTTTGTATTGAAATATATACATTGTAAAGTGTAACAAAAATTGTGCGTACCATGCTCAATAAAAAACCGACTTTTTAAAAAAAATTCCAAACATCTCCCAAAATTTTTTTGCGGGGGAAAAGATGGAGGCGTGTTTTTCTAGAATCATCATTGCTTTTTCTAAAACTCTTCTTCTAGAACAGGGGTGAGCTCAGGAATTCTGGGAGTTGAAGTCCACAAGTCGTAAAAGGGCCCAGTTGCCAATTTATGAGATTATCTGCCGATAAACTCATGTTACAAAGGAAGGCAAATAAAACGTGTCTCGGGATAATGTTGCAGGATCCAAATTGGGTCGGTCACCAGGACTAGAGTTTTTGTCTTTTGAGCTTTCAAACTCATGCTGGAGCCCATCCTCAAGGAATTTCTTTTTCATCAGAATGAGAGTGTCAGGGTTCCAAGTAATACACCCATAGCAAACAGAACTCCAAGGCAGGTAGATTCCTTAAAGAACAGTGTCAACTCATAAAATATTTCTCTGGTCTTTTAGAGTTGCCAACAGAAAGGGAGTGGGGAGTAGTGTAGCAGCTTGCAAAAACGAAACTGCATTCCATAAATGTTTTCATAGATAGTTTCCAGGCGACTGAAGTTTCTGCCCTGCAAAATTCTAACTGGAGAGTATGATTGATGACTCTTGGCTATGGATGTGTCCCATTGGAGAATACGAATTATGATACACCCAGGGGGTAGAGGGAAACTAAGGTCGAGAGTGACAATGAATGATGTATCTCATGAGCCCTGACAAACAGTTTTACTGGCTACATCATATTGGCACGGACTGGTGAAAACCGACTCTAATGGTTCCCGTGGTTTTTACCTAATTAAAAGTAAACGTCCGCCCCCTTTCCAAACAATCAATCGTATGGTCGAATCAAAGTGTTGTCCGGTTGCTTGGTAACTTCAGTCCTCTCAGCCACCTGTGGGAATGTCCTTGGTTCCCCGAGGGACCTATTTTGTTTTGGCTACAAACCTCTCCAGCTATCTCTACCCCCACTCCCTAACCCTCATCTCCATTGTGGCAACCCTGAGGCCTCAAAGATGGCCTCAGTCAGGCCAACTTCAGAGTTGGCAGAGAAGTTGAGAGAGAAGTTCCCTGAGGATGGGCTCCAGCACAAGTCCATAAGCTTGGAAGACTAAACTTCTGTTCCCGCTGATGGGCTCAGATTGGATCCTGCAGATTCATCTTGTCTCTTAATTTCTGGTGTCTATTGTCCCTGCCTTTTCCAACCTTTCCCATCACTTCCCAATCTCTCACACCAGTCCTTTTAGCTCCACAGGTTAAGATTATTAATTAAAATACCATTTTAGGCTAGCACAATGCATTATTTTAAGCCCCTTTAATAAATATTTTGAACTATGAAATTATTTTCCAAGTAGCACATCCAGGGTAGACTAACAGGAACAGGTGTTTTGCACCTGTGCTACACGCACCTGGGTTTCCATGTGCACATGTTTCAGTGGATTTTTCTATTTAATTCAGAAAGCAGCCATGCCAGGAAAAATCTCTGCTTTTAGCCATGCATTCATCCTTCTAGAAAGGGATGTGCCTTCTGTCATTTTGTACAGGTACTTCTCGACTCACAAAAGTTCATTTAGAGACCGTTCAAAGTGAAGACGACACTCACAAAGGTGATTTACGACCATTTTTTTCATACTTACAACTGTTGTGTATTCAGAGTTTTGCAGCGTAAATTCAGCGCCAGAAAAATAAACACAGATGGCCGACGCTTCATTTATCATCTTTATAAACATAATAAGTAGATTTTACAAACCAGTTTGTAGATTTCTCCAACATGGAGCAAACTCAAACAGAAGCATGTTGCAAGTAACTTCAGACATATTGCAAGTGCAGAGCAGAACAGCAACTCAGAAACAGAAGCTCAGAAACAGACATCAGTTTCACTTTAGTTCAACAGGCAAGCAGAGGAGAGAAGCAGTTTCATTTTCAATAGACAGACTCAGAGCTTAACATAGCTGCAGAGCTGCAGAGCTTAACATAGAGCCACGCCTAGGCTACTTCTAGTTTCAGTTTCCAAAACAGTCCTCATTGGCTGACTTAGTTGCTATGCCTCTTCATTGGCTGACCTTGTTACCATGCTCTATTCCAGTTCATGAATATACTCTGACATTGTGGCATCCCCATGGCCTTGTGATCAAAATTCAATGGACTCATATTCATGACAGGTGCAATGTCCCAGAGGTCATGTGATCCCCTTTTGCGACCTTATGACAAGCAAAGTCAATGAGTGAGCCAGACTCATTTAACAACCGTGGGACTAACTTAGCAACTGCAGCGATTCATTTAACAACCATAGCAAGAAAAGTTATAACGTGGGACAGAACTCACTGAACAAATGTGTCGCTTAGCAACAGTAATTTGGGACCCAGTTCTGGCTGTACGCTGAGGTATAGCAGTGTTTGTCAAACTTGACAATCTCTGTGGACTTCAACTCCCAGAATTCCCCAGCCAACGTTGCTATTTGAGAAACATCGGCCTGCAGTATCACATTCATGCACGCTTATAAATCACTCCTATCTACCAATGAAGCCAGAGGAAGAAGAATCTGGACATCCAATATCTCTTCTGTGATTGCAAGTGAAACACTAAATCTTTCAAATGTTTGCAGCGCCATTAGACTCTAGGCCAACATGTAACTGAAAGAATTGTCAGCATCATTATCCAAATCTTCTTTTCTGCAGCTCAGCGGAGACATTATTTTATTTTAAATCCTGAGTAATTGCCACCTGCTGTTTCATGTGCTTCTACTTTGCACAAAGCTTAACAACAAACTTAATTAGGCTAATTCCAGTCAGATTAATATTTCCTGTCTTTTCGGCACTAGCTGTGTGCCACTTGCTACGTGCTTGCCAAGTTAAATGGAGGGATACGGGAAATGTTGCTTTCTAACTAGGGGCATGCTTTAAGAGGCACTGCAGGATGGGAGGTAGCTCAAGTTGGGTGAGCAGTTCAAAGGTCCAGGAAGGGATCTCCAAGGCAGAAATTGAGAGCTGTTGTTCTATTTTACAAGTAAGCAATACTGCAGCTGGGAATGAGCAAAGAGGGGGCATATCCCAAAAGCAGGATTTCAGGAAATATGCACAGCCCAAAACATCGTGGGCTGTCCCCTGATACCACTAGATGACCTCCCTAGGGCTCGCTGCCTTAGAAGAGTGAGGAAAATCCTCAGAGATGACTCACACCCCAGTCAGCACTTCTTCACTCTCCTAACATCGGGTAGGAGACAGAGAAGCATAGCCAGCCGCACCAACAGGCTAAAGAACAATTTCTACCCGTGGGCTGTCAGAAAATAACTTCATGTCAACATAGTACGATAGACTTGCGGGCCAGCGTGTTGTGCAACAAGGTCATGTAGTGTAATAAGATTGGGACTGGGTTAAGGACTTCTGTCCTCACTGTGAGTTGTGTGTGTGTGCGTGTGTGTGTGGTGCACAAAGGGAGGCTCAACCAATCTCATCGTGCACATGTTATACTCTGACAGTAAAGGAAATTAAAAATAACCCAAATCTGAATGGAAGGGATCAGGACTGAGTTGCTTGCAACAGATACCAAAAAAAAAAAAAAACAGGTCTGGGTAAATGGCTGGGTTGATGGTTGAAGAAGATAGCAACGTGGTTTGATGGACAACAGGAAAAGGCAGAACAGTTTAATGCCTGTTTTGCACATGGCTTTTCACAGAGACGCAGTGGCTCGGTGGTTAAGACGCTGAGTCTTAGATCGCAAAAAGGTCCATGAGCTTGGCAATTCAAGACCTGACTGACATGGGACGGAGTGAGCTACCGTCGCCTCTCCCAGCTCCTGCCAACCTAGCAATTCAAAAGCATGCCAATGCAAGGAGGTGAATAGCAGAGGTGGGTATTCAGCAGGTTCTGACCAGTTCTGGAGAACCGGTAACAGAAATTTTGAATAGTTTGGAGAACCAGCAAATCCCACCTCTGACTGGCCCCGCCCCCATCTCTTCTCTGCCTCCCGAGTCCCAGCTGATCAGCTGGGTCTTCTTTGGTTGCCCTGCACAGGAGAACGGAGCGGGAAAGCAGGTTAGTGGGGTGGGGAGGGAATGGAGATTTGGCAGTAACGTTCCCCCAGGAGTGGGGAGGGAATGGAGATTTTATAGTGTCCTTCCCCTGGAATAGGGGATGTTGCAGTATCCTTCCCCTGCCACACCCACCAAGCCATGCTGACCAAGTCAGGCCCACAGAACTGGTAGTAAAAATTTTTGAATCCCACCACTGATTAATAGATACTGCATATAAGCATGCAGGAAATAAGTAACAGCCTTCTGTGTTCTGCAGTATGCTCTGTGCTACGCTGTGATGTCATGCCAGCCACATGACTGTCGAAATATCTCTGGACAATGCTAGCTCTTTGGCTTTGGAGATGAATACTACTCCCTAAAGTTAGTCAAGACTAGCGGGGTAAAACCCACGGAGCCATCTTTATCTTTTCCAGGTGCTTTTGCAAGAGGCAACTGGGCTTTCTTTGTTTTTCCTTGAAGACATTTTGCTTCTCATCCAAGAAGCTTCTTCCCTTCTGACTGAATGGTAGGGAATGGAAAGGATTTATATTCCTTGCAGTCATTTGATCGTTATCGTTCTTTCTGAGGGTTGTTGAGGCCACTTGGAGGTTTATCTGTGCCCTCAGGGTCACACGAATAGTGCAAATGGGTGGGGAACTTCTGAAAGGACTGTGTTGTAAACAGGGGATACTGGAGGTAGCATCGTGTCCCTCCTTCTCTGTTGAGAGAGGGCTGTTCAGTTTTAATGTAGATGGCCTCTATACCTTTTCACAAAAGAAAAAGATGACCTAACTTGTTAGAAGCTGCACCACAGACAGCAAAAGAAAAATACAGGGCAAGGAAGTCATGAGAGAACATAAACCTAACTGCTTTATAGGAATTCAGATCACCCAAACTAGATGTATTCCATTTCCCAGTGCTAAAAGAACTGGAAGATACGATTTCAGGATCACTGACTTTAAGCTTTGAGAACTCCTGAAAGACAAGGGAAGTGCCAGAAGATTGGAGGACTGGGGTTGTAGTTGGATTAGAAAGAAACAGGATGGGAAGAGTATTGATGCCTTTGAATCTTATTTATTTTATTTGATTTGATTTGATTTGTCAATCGCTTACAAGGTAATAGGTATAAGTATAAACATGAGTAAGAATACAGGAAATAGATACGAATAAATGGGGACAAGAAGACAGGGACGGGAGGCACAATGGTGCACTTATGCACACCCCTTACAGACCTCTTAGGAATGGGGTGAGGTCAATAGTGGATAGTTTGAGGTTAAAGGAGTGGGAGTTTGAGGATGTAACTACAGAGTCAGGTAGTGCATTCCAGGCATTGACCACTCTGTTGCTGTAGTCGTACTTTGTTCAATCAAGTTTGAAGTGGTTTACATTGAGTTTGTATCTGTTGTGTGCTCTTGCATTGTTGTGGTTGAAGCTGAAGTAGTCATTGACTGATAGGACATTGTAGCAGATAATTTTGTGTCCTATGCTTAAGTCTAACCATAGGCAGCGTAGTTCAAGGATGTCCAAGCCCAGAATCTCAAGCCTGGTGATATAGGGTTGTGTTTTGTTGTGAGCAGAGGAGGGTAGTACTCTTCTCATTGGTTCTTGGTGCTGGAGAAGATTCTTGAGAATTCTGGGGCAACCAAGAAGTCAGACCAATGGCTCTTCAAACGTATCAATCCAGAATTATTATTACTCAAGTCAGATGACCAGGTTCTAATAGTCTTAATCTGGACACATAATATAAAGACCTAGTTCTCTGAAAAAAACTCATATAACATGGTCCTCATTTGAACTAAAGCAATAAAGTTGAGAACTGCACACGTGGATTTGATTGGAGTAAATTGTAGGGATGACATGGAAATATGATTTGCATTTTCTCTTACTTATATTTTTTATTTCTCTTATGGTCTTATTTCTGTCCTGGTTTGTATTTTGTATTATGAGATGGTTCACAGGCTAATCAATAAAGTATTACTGAATGGGAAAGAAAAATAAAGCTACAGATCAGTCAATTTGACCTGCTTAGCTTCCAAGTACGGACAGATATATGTATAGATTGACCAGGCATTGCTATCTGATAAATTCACCGGCATATCTATTTTCTTGGCTGTGATATACCCATAGCAACTGCACTTAGACTTACATACTGCTTAGATTGACTGCTTCCTAGTATGATTTGATTGCTTATTGTACCCTATGACTATCATTAAGTGTTGTACCTTATGATTCTTGACGAATGTATCTTTTCTTTTATGTATACTGAGAGCATTTGCACCAAGACAAATTCCTTGTGTGTCCAACCACACTTGGCCAAGAAAGAATTCTATTCATAGTTCTTTACAGCCCTTCCTATGTCGTTTACAGAGTCAGCATATTGGCCCCAACAATTTTGGATCCTCATTTTACCCACTTTGGAAGGATGGAAGGCTGAGTCAACTTTGAGCCTGGTGAGATTCAAACTGCCAAATTGCAGGCAGCCGGCAGTCAGCAGAAGTAGCCCGCACTACTGCACTCTAACTACTGTGCCACCAAAGCTCCTATGGAAGTGCTTCTCCATCACCTTCTTCTGGGATGTTTTTTGAACTTTTCAATCTAGAACACAGCACTGGAATTTCCTAATAGTTGCCTATGGAGATTCTCAGCCATCCAGGTCATGGTTGTCCCAAAAGTGCTTCCTTTCAGTTGCAACTGGACTGTCTTTGTTTTTCCTTGAAGTCCAGTTGTCTCTTGAAAAAGCACCTTTGGGATTCCAACAATTGCTTCTCAAAACCTTAAGCCAGATCTGATCCTGCTTAGCCAATTTCCTTGAGCATTCTAAGGTGCTCTCACCTACGTGGACAGATGCTGAAAGTACTTTGTTTTAAGTTTGCCAGAGCATTATAGATTTGATTTCTGACCTTTTACCGTCTCTATTCAGTTTGAGATCCCTGCTGTGTCAAAAGTTTTTTGCTACCAGTTTTGATGGTAATGTTATGCACATGTGGAGAGAGGTCTGTGGGTTTAGAGAGAGACCTCATATGCCAGTTGGTTTCTCCTAAGACCCTGATCTGATTTATGATATTGCAATTAACTTCTGAATGTTTTATTGCTGGCTTTGGGCCATAAAAAGGGGCATCTTCTTTCTTGGATTATTCTACTTTGAAATTGCAAACAACAGTATAAAGTGGAGGGATGTTTCTACACATCGTTGCCTAAACTATCTTACAAATTGCCATGAGTGCTTTTTAAAAAATTGACCAAATACATGCACGATAAATAAAATAGCCACCATATTTACTTAATGTGAAATATACATTGTTTAATCACTAGAAGTCATTTAATAATGAAGCTCCCTAATGATGCACAGCTACGAATGCTCAAATACTAATATTGTCCTGTAATGTTACTCAAGAGATAGTCTCCATCATCTCATTATTATATATATTATTACTACTTGGATGCCAGTATTCTCAAAAGCAATAGCGCTTCTTTTATAAATACCATATAAATACCATATAAATTATTTGCATCTTTCTAAAAAAAAAAGTATTTATGATATACAGGTAGTCCAAGGCTTACAACTACAACGGAGCCCAACATTTCTGTTGCTAAGTGAGACAGTTCACGTGACCATGGGGATGCTTGCTGCAATGGTTATATGTGTGAAAAATGGTCATAAGTCACTTTTTTCAGTGATATTGTAACTTCGATCGGTTGTTAAATGAACTATTGTATGTCGAGGACTATCTGTATACAAAATCAAGAAAATAAACAGATGTATAACGCAGAAATCGATCATAATAAAGACAAACTTTCCAAGCATTATAAAATACACAAGGGAAAGAAAAAAAAAAATAACATTGCAGGTAGTCCTTCACTTATAGCCATTTGTTTAGTGACTGAAGTTACAATGGCACTGGGGAAAAAAAGTGATTTATGACTGTTTTTCCCACTTATAATTGTTGCAGCATTCCCATGGTCACATGACCAAAATTCAGGCACTTGTCCTGCTGTATTTATGATAATTGCATTGTCCTAGGGTCATGTGATCACCTTTTGTGACCCTTTGACAAGCAAAGTCAATGAGGAAGCCAGATTCATTTAACAATCATGCCACTAAGTTAACAACTGGAGTGATTCACTTAACAAATGCAGCAAAAAAGGTCGTAAAATGGGGCAAAACTCACTTAACAACTGTCTTGCTTAGCAACAGTCATTTCTGGCTCGATTGTGATCGTAAGTGGAGGACTAACTGTAATCATCATCTTCTCTTAATGACCCCATAATCCCTTGCAGGGTGGAGTCTAGGCAACTGAATGGAGCTGAGTGTTTACTGGCCAGATGCCCTTCCTGTCACCAATGCGGAGTTATATTCAGCAGATATATTCTCAACATGCCCAGAGAGAAAAATACCTGATTCTACCTAGGATCGAACTCACAGCCTCCTGATTGGGAGGCGAGAGTTTCACATCTAGGCCACCGCACCACTCCGAGGACTACCTGTAATAATGTGCACTATTTTTTTTTTAGTACTCACCAATACAGATCGTAGGATACCATCCACTTGTTTTGGTGTTCAACAAACAAGCATTGACACACTCCAGAAGGGGCGCCAGAATTAAAAATGGCAAGATGCTTATTACATTCATGGCAGCGATCGGCAGAAGGAATCCATTCAAATTCAGATTGGAATTCACTGTCTGTATGTTATATCCGGATGGGATCTGAATAGTAAAGAGAAATGCTTTAGTCTGGTTGATGACCCAACTTCCTTCCACTCATGGAAAAGAAATAAAATAAAGGTTGTTTTTTTTTAACCTCCGTTTTTGAAGGGATATGTTGCATGCTAAAATTAAAGAGACAAGGGTGTGCATCTGAACCAAACCAAACCGAATTTAAAACAAAAACACCATTAACTCACTTGCATAACACACGATCTATAAAGGATCTGGAAGGCAAATAAAGGAAAGAGACGGATGAGCAATTTTGTGTTTTCCACTTGGGTTTCGGTGTAGTGGCCTCCATAGTTTTCCTTGGCGTGGTCCAGCCAGTTTGCCACGTTCCCACTGAAATAGCGGCATTGTACGCAACACACCTTCAGTGCATTGATGATTATGCCACAGACTGTCAACAGGCAACTCCCTAGGAATAAGACAGGGGAGTTAATAATCTACAACACAGACTTTACAAGATCGAATCTGCCTGCTTGTAGCAGCTGGCATTCCTCTGTGACAGTTTTGGCAGATTTCAACTGGTGAAGAAACTAGGTTAGGGTTGGTGGCTCTCTTTGCCTACAAATCCCTCTTCACTACTGTTGGAAGAAATGTCCATCTGGTTCAGTTCCAAGTGGGGAGAAAGACACTGGAAACATGGAGGCTGATTGGAAAGATGGTTTATTGAGGGACAGGACCACATGGGTTTGAAGTCCTGGGCAGCTGACCACATGGAGTTGCCCCTCTTGGGCCTTGCCCTTGAGCTTCCTGTTCTTGTGCAAGAAATGTATTCTATTGGTTGTCATACTTCCAGGGGGCTTTGCAGGGGTCATAGCTAACTTTTTAGGTTGTCTGAATTATGTTTGATTGAAGTCTGGACTCTCTGAGATGATGTAATGATGGGGCTTGTGTTTTGAGAGGGTGTTGGGCCATTCTTATTGTGTCTTAATGGCTTTCCTGGTTTGGATCCTGAGTGAGGGCTTATCCTAATTCTTCCTTTGTTCAAAATATCCTGTCTTAAATGGATTAGCAAATCTACATTTCTAAAAGGAAGGGAGTCAAGCTATTCTCCAAAGCACCTGAGGGTAGGACAAGAAGCAGTGGGTGGAAACTAATCAAGGAGAGAAGCAACCTTGATATAAGGAGACATTTCCTGACAGTGAGAACAATTAACCAATGGAACAACTTGTCCCCAGAGGTTGTGAATGGTCCAACAGTGGAAGTTTTTAAAAAGATGTTGGATAACCATTTGTCTGAAGTGGTGTAGGGTTTTCTGCCTAGGCAGAGGGTTGGACTAGAAGACCTCCAAGGTCCCTTCCAGATTCTATTCTATTCTATTCTATTCTATTCTATTCTATTCTATTCTAT